AGAGCCACAGTGCTGCCGCACTGGCAGCACTTGAGCATAAGCCCAGGGCTTCACTGGCAAACATATTCCGTTAAAAAATAAATAAATTAAAAACCCTTCTAAATCTGATGTTCTCTATCACACCTACAGACAAAGCAATTGTGGACTCTGCAAATTAAAGCCCTAATAAATGCCATCCCAGGACACTATTTCCTGAAAAATATAGGCAAAGAGGGCAAAAGAGCAACATAAAAAAATATTAAATTGTTGGACAGACTCTTAAAGAAATTTGTCATTATGCAGACAATAAAACTAGGAAAGAAAAATGCTGGACTCATTCAGGAAATAATATGAAAGCATTCATCCCCATTAAGACATAAAAGCCTCACAGAAATGAGTGGTTTCTGCCTGGAGTAAAAAAAAATCTATTTTTTTTTCCAGCCATCTTTTATTTTATTTTGTCCTGATCCAAATAAGAAAAAGTACAACCTGAAAAAAATATTTAATAAAAATGCACGTTATACATTGAACCACACTGTCAGCTTGTGTAACCTAATACTGTTCCACTGAAGACAATAGAGCTGCATCCATTTAACAGCATCTATTTTGATGTATGCATACAAGAAAGTACAACTGTGCAATTGCTATTGTGGTTTGATTCCCTGTTTGCCAGTTTTCCTGTTTTTATTTAGGTCCCACAGTGAAGAATATGTAGCTTTCAAGAGAGACAGTATTTATTTTAAATGTTATGCATATTTTCTTTGGGACCCCAAGGCAGTTTTGTAATCTGAGCATCTTCCCTTCTTGGCATGCTCTCTTCAGAGATCTAATTTAAAGAAAAGTCATTTCAAGCCTAAGCCACAAAGTTCTCATTGCTGTTATGAATTTACCATTCCATAATATGCACAATATTGGAGCAAGATGCTGGCACAAGTATGGGGAAGCGCAGCAGCTGAACTACCCCACATGCAGGGACATATGCTTGCAGGGCAAAAAAAGTAGCGGCACAGATTTGTGCCACTACTTTTTGCTGCTGTACATGCTCCTATGTGCTTTGGTGCAGGACAAAATGCCCTGCTTTGGGAAACTATCATTTCCCTGCTACTCCTGGCGTGCTATAGGAGCCAGGGTGGAACTAAAGGAGGGGAAACAATTTGGTCAGCAGCCAGAGCATCTCCTAGGAGGACTAAGCCTCTGTGTCTACCAGCACAAACTCTTGTGTTGCAACTTGCTGCAAATTTGCAGCACAGGGCATGTTTCAACATGCCAGGCATTTGGTTTGTGGTGTTATGAAGAGGTTTGCAGTGCCACAAACCGCACTTGTCTGGATCCAGCTTATGTGGAAGCAAACCAGATAAATGTTGGTGCAACCAGCCTGCTCCATATCAGACCATAAACCTTGCCTTTCCCCAGACCTTCTACAAAGCTGTGCACCACAAGGGGCTGCAATTATGCCAGCCCCTGAACATAAAGATCAGTGCTAAGGTTCGTTACAGGCTCTTCAAAGAGAGTCTATCAATCTGAGCCCCATATCTGACACTAAAATACTTCATGCTCCCCTTGTAGGTTACCTCATCCAAAGTCATCAGGTTCTATCAGAAATTCAGAAATTTCCAGGAGTATTTCCTTCTCCCATTGTTTATGCTGATTATCTTGCAACCTAGCAAGGCCCAGGAAAATGTTTTGACTAGACATAACCAAAGAAAGTTAATATTTTAAAAATAAGCGTTGTTTCTACATTTTTGATAATACTGGAAATACTTCAAGGATTAAAATGCATGTGACGTTTCCTAGAAGGATCTCATAGAGTATTTGGTCCAGGACATATATGAATGTATAGAACATCAGGGTTTACAAAGCATATCTAGCAACAGGGAAGAAACACGTTACTTTAAATGTATAGTCTGTAACTTGCCACGCAATAGTGAAGCACTTAAATTAAGTACTCTAAAATAGAGAGGTTACTATATATTTTTTATTTATACCCTCAAGTGCATCCATCATTTCAATTGGATGTTTATCAACAATTCACCTTGGAAAAAAGAAGACAGAATAACAGCAGAATAACAGCATAGAGAAATTATGGTTGTGTGTTTCCTACTGATGCCCTTAAAATGTGTGTGGTTGCTAAAGGATAAGGATGCCATACAAAAATATTAATCTTGATCAATGGAGTTGGCTTAGCATAACAGCATTTCACTGCCTTTTTCTGTATTCAAAATCCTAAAATTGCCTGTACAAAGTGCATATTCACAACACAAAGAATGTTGTCACAGTCGCTGTGGATGAGGAGGAGATAAAAAATTAGATTTGAATCACTCTATGCTTCCCAACAGAAGACGCAGCACACAATTGTCACATTTCAACCAGAAAGATACAAGACTTTAACTAACTAACTAATCAAAATACAGAGCTAAGCAACAACAGAAATTCTTAGGGGACATTTAAGATAATGGCTACATTAAGTTCCTGCTGGTTTGGTGCAAAACTCCTAAAGTGCAAACCTAAAGGAAAAAAATTCACAAACAAAAGAGGGGGTGGCAAGCAGGGTGTTGTGTGCGAGCCCCACTTTACAACTGGAATTTTCTTTTTTCTTTTAAAGGTGGCCTCAGAGTTATTTTATTCCCTTATGTTCTTTATTTCTACTGTATAAACTGTTAATCCCCTTTCAAGTTCTCTACTCAAGTGCATTTCTTTTTAAGGAAAAAAGAAGTGACAGCTAACGAGAATCTGGGCAACCCTGCATCTGGCGCACAGCCTGCAATTCAGCACAAGAGGCAACCTCAAAAGATAAAAAGAAACAGTTTCACTCTGGTTGGTACAGAAACAAGGGGCATAGGAAAAGGCTGAGAACTCACCTCCACAAAGAGCTCTCCAACACTTTCCCCATGTCAGTATGGTAATACTTGGTAAGGATGAGAATCACCTACAGAAGAGAATGAAAATACACGTAAGATATATACACTCAAATTTTAAAAAGTGATAAAAACAGAGCATTTTCAGGCCATCCCGATCCCTGTACACAAAGACTCATTTCTTAAATACCTCCAGAAACATACTGTTTCCTTCCAACTTAGTTTCTCCATTTTTGGGAGCATAGGGCAGTTATAACATTTTCTATAAATATTTCCACTTTGTAAAGACTTGCCTATTTTACTTGGGAGGGGGAAAGTATTATCACATAAATTCACCTTAACTCCCAAATGGCAGCATCTAATCAGTCTATGAATGACTTTCACAGCAGGAAGAGCCAAGTTACTCCCCAGTCGTAATTTACAATGCAGCCATCTTCAGCTTCCATGGACATGAATTTATCTTATCCAGAGTGCTAAGCAATGACATTGGATCTCAGCCAGAATTAGGCACTGTGGTCTTCTCTCCAAGACCATAAACACAGCACTGAAACATGTCACGTTACTTTCCTTGAAGTGGTGGCTGTTTTCCAACAGGCAGTAATATACTGTATATGTTACTAATCCACATTGCCAAAACAATGAAAAATATTTTCATATATAAACTAAATCCCATGGACAAAAACACTCCAGGCTAGTGGGAAAAAACATCAAGTAAGAAACATGTTCCATTAACTCAGTGTTTGTAGAGCAAGAGCAAATTAAGACAAACTCATTGGCCAAACAGTATAAAACATTAGTCCATAACTACTGTACTGTGCTGGCTGCTACATTTTAAATTTAGCTCACTTAAATCAAATTTCCTTTCACTTGCTGCCAGTCCATATTAGTTCTTCTTACACCACAGTTACCATGGCAACCCTGGAGAGGTAAAATTGGAAGAACCTCTGGTTTCTTGCACAGCTGTTAACTTGGTTAACACAGGGTCAAGATCAGTCGCCTCCAACAGTCTGAAGCATGCTTTTATTCAGCCAGACCTAGCTTTGTTCTTGACCACCAGATGAAATCTTCAGCAAACAGCAGTTTTAGCTATTTGCTTTGATTATCCAGATAATTAATGTACTAGTACTGTACTGATGCAACAATTCAGGGCTTAGGTGGCTGCCCCTTGGAGAGCACAGAGACTCTAGAATTCAAGGTAATTTCATTTATTTGCCTTTAAACATACATAGCATTTTGCAAACTCAAATATAGCCCCACCCTCACTCTTTATGGTGGAACCTATTAAATACAATAGAGTTACTTAAGCATTTACAGTAATATAAGAAAAATCAGAATCAGGCCTTAATTCACTAAAATATATTAAAGCGTTCATATTCTTAAAAGAAATCACAATCTAAAAAACATTTTTTCCCATTGCATTTTCCTGTTGTTTGGCTAAAAGGCATTTTGTTTTAAAGTTATAGAATTTTATTTATTTTTTAAATCTCACCACTTAGTTTTAAATAGTTGTGTGACTAAACGTAATGTGGCATGAAAAGCCAAAAGAAATACTTATTTCCCAAGGGCTAGAGATACCTACTGCTGAGACTCCTGGTTAAAGCCCCAGGCATGTTTCATCATGTCAGCTATTTATTCTATTGTTAGCATCTTACTACAGCTTTGCTAAACTTGACCCTTGGTAGGAAAAGGAGGAAACCTCACTATCATGAACAAGCGTATCTGGCTCAGATTATTAAGGGAAAACTTTTGGCCAATGCTCTCTTCAGCCAACAGGCATTTGTTCAGACCACAGGAATCTACCCAGGCAACTTTAATGAGAGCTGAAAATATAGTTTTGGCCAGTCAGACTAGAAGAAAGATAATTAGAAGATACAAGAAATGATATTCTATACTACTTTGTTTCATTACATACACATGCAACCATGGCAATCAATCTTAAAATTATTAAACGGACACTTTTTATGCCCATGCATCCCATAACTGTAATTTTTAAATTGCAGATTTTCAGTGATGGCAGAACATACAAGGAAGCCACTGTCTACCAAGATCAAGCAAAAAACTATTGAATTAAGCTGTTATCAGATATAGTTAAGATGTACTAGGTTTAAGCTTTAGAATCTCAATCCCCTAAATCTTATGGAAGGCTCTCCAAGACATCCTCCAAAGACAGCATTGTCAAATCCTTCCTAAAAATAAGAGGCTTTCAAGTAGGAAGGGTTCAATAAGAGACTACAGGACACCCACAACTATGCTGACTGGCAGCAGTTCACCTTGCAAGGGGGTGCAGATGAAATGGGGGTGGGGAGGGAGGTGGGGGGAGAAACATCTAATTAGAAAGCCAGTGTTCAGAGCATACATGACAGCCATTCAATTCATGTAACTGTAAACTGCATCCTGTAGCAGCATCTCTAGTAAGGGAATGCCTCACTGAGGGACCTGTTCTGTAGGATAATTCTAATCCAGAAACAGTGATTTATAGCACATGTCAAAGCTCTCTTCTCCAATGTGACTGTTAAATTCATTTAAAAATGAAGAAGCTCTCCCTCTACAGCATTTCAGAAGCACCAGGTAAAGGTTATGGAAAATTACTTAGTGGCTAGACAAAGCCACAGCCAGCTATCTGTGGGCACTTAAAGAGTATTAACAGACTTCCGTAATGGTCTACCAAGACTGGGTCAGAAGCTGTCAGAAGGGCTGACCACAATTCAGTTATGTCCATGTATTTCATTCCAGTATCTAAAAACTATAGGTCAAGTACTTTACATTCAGCCTTCAATGTAATCCTCTGTACTGGTGGCGTTTTTCCATGCTACCAGTGATAGTACTAAATACTGTTGTTTGATCTCAGATAATGAATGAATCCAAAGAAGCGTAGGAATCTATTCCAAAAATTCCAGAGTATTTGGACATTAGGAATTCTACATCTCATTTAGTAGAGCAGCTCCTTGATTTACTGAGCAGACATTTCATTTCATTTCTGTGAGACTTTATAATTAAAAAGCATTTTCCAGGTTGGATGGCAGCCAAAAATGTGTACATGCTGCTATCCTACAGAGAGTGCTGTAGCCATCTGTGAACGAAGAAGCACTTGCAAAGTCAACAGAGAAATGATAGAAGGCCCTCCACTTCTCCAATTTCTATTAATGTAAATCGCAGAAAACTCCTCGTAATTCAGTTAGAATTCACAGAAAACCCCTTAGAATTTAGTTAGATAGCAATGAAGGAAAATTATGCTTAACAACTTCAGCACTTAGATAAATATGACAACTTGTTCTATTATCTGCAACCACCAGCTAACCTGACTAGACGCCTTCTTTCATTCATGTCTTTTTTCTCCCAAGTTCTTAACAATGTTCTTATCAGCCGTCTTAACCCCAGTATTATTCTATCAGAGGCTCCCTAAAGAAAGGAAACCTTAAAATAACCCATTAAGCTATTATTTTTAAAAATGAGGGTAATACACAAACAAAATGTGTGTTAGACAAGATAAGAAATATAGATTTTTATTGTGGAGCAGTTTTCATCTGACAATACTGGACATCTGTCAGTCATTAAAATTGTACCTCCATGGCTTCTCAATTACATTGCTACTTTTTGTTCTCAACTTAGGTCCTTCTGCTGCATGTAGCAATAAGGAATACTTAACCTATCTGATTTCTCCAGTTTGCAGGAATGTTTAAAAAAAACCCAGTAACTACCCCCTCCAGTTTTCTGGCAGGCATTAGAAATGCGTAACTTCATTTGCATCCCTTTTCCAAAGATTCTGAGTATGGACAAATGTAACATGTAGACCAGTTTGAATTCAGTTTACATTGGCAGCAGACAGCTATACAGCCTGTTAAAGCAGTTTAAAGCTGCCCAGAAAGATCCAAAAGTGTATCTGGATGATCAAGTACTCTTTTGAATGTTATGTGTGGACATCAAACATTCTGTGACACAGGTCTGGTCTTCCAGGCACCCCACAATTCATCACTTCTCACCCCCTCACCCCTGGTATGTGGCTAGCACTCTACTGTCCCCTTTTTCTTCTCTTCTAATGGCACATTTACCAATGATCTTCCTTGTGTAGTGATACAAGTTATAATTTAGAGATGCTCCCTAACTATGGAGACTGAGGAAGTTGGTAATAGAATGCAATCTCTCCATTAGGTAATAGAGAGACAAAGGGACTGCAGAGGCTTACCAACTTTTCCAGTTCTTCTCATTCATGCCTGACTATCTTTATTGAACCGAAGGATCATTACATACTGCCTGGTAAATAAAATCTATTTTTTTAACAACCAGTTATGTCCTCACTCTGATAACTCTGTAGACTACAAGTGAAGCCCCAGACTACCTCATGGCATGGGTCAAGGTTGCAAAAGCCTATGTCCATGTCACATGGCAAGGTTCAAGAGTGGTTTTCTGCATCCTGTCATCTCTCTCACCATAAAACTTCCTTAGTCCATCAGTTGGACTACTATCTGCACAGTCTACTATCCTAGTAGCTGTGCATGTTAGACCAGGATTAGAATAATAAAATCATAGAAAGTTAGGGTTAGAAGGGACCTCAGGACGTCATCTAGTCCAACCCCCTGCTCAAGGCAGGGTCATCCCCAACTAGATCTCAGCCAAGGATCTGTCTAGCCTGGTCTTAAAAACCTCCATCTTCTGGCAATGTTCATACTAATGCAGCCCAGTATGATGTTAGCTTTTTTGGTAACAACAGCACACTGTTGGCTCATATTCAGCATTGTTCACTGTAGAGGTCCTTTTCTGCAGAGCCCAGCAGTCCCCAACCTGTACTGGTTCATGGGATTTTTCCATCCTAACTGCAGGACTTTGTGCTTGTCCTTGGTGAACCTCAAGAGACTTCTTTGGGTCCAATCCTCCAACTTGTCAAGGTCACTCTGAATCCTAGCCCTACCCTCCAGCATATCTACTACTCCCCCCAGCTTGCTGTCATCTGCAAACTTGCCAAAAGTGCACTCCATCCCATCTTTCAGGTCGTTGATAAAGCTAGTGAACAAAACCAGCCCCAGGACCAACCCTTGGGGCACTGCAGTTGATACCTGCTGCCAGCTAGACATTGAGCCATTGATTATTACCATTTGAGCCCAATGACGCAATCAGTTTTCTATGCACCTTACTGTCCATTCATCCAGCCCATACTTCCTCAGCTTGCCTGTGAGAATGTGATGGGAGACCATATCAAAAGCCTTGCTAAAGTCCACTCCACTACTCTCCCTGCATCCACAGAGCCAGTCATCTCATCATAGAAGGCAAATCAGGATGGTCACTCATGACTTGCCCTTGGTGAACCCAGGCTGACTGTTCCTAATCACCACCTTCTCCTCCAACTGCTTAGAAATAGATTCCTTGATGACCTCTATGATTTTTCCAGGGACTGAAGTGAGGCTTATCATCCTATAACCCCATGGCTCTTCCTTCTTCCTTTCTTAAAGATGAACACTATATATATTTTGGAATCAATTCCAAAGAATTCTTCATTCACCTTAAATGGGCACTGGGAGTTAGACCTGCTTCAACAGAAGAGCTATCCTGATTGGAACTCTGGCTGAGACCTATGATTTTTTTACTAGCTAATCAGCTTCCTGACCTGTTCTTCGTAACATTTAACTCCCTCTTCCTTCTGGAAAAAGTTACTTTTGATTTGTTCAAAAGCTCTTTAGTACTATTCCACCATTTTCAGGTATCATTTACTGGGGGTGGGGGGACCTCACACTTCTATGGTAACTAATACCCAAGACAGTGCTCCAAGACTGCATTTCGGGAGCATTTTTTTGCCCCTGGGGATCCATGTTGAAAGCAGTCCCATTTGCATGACTGCCCTGGTTGTTCATTGCAATTCAGGTACACAAACAAATGAACTAAACAGTGAGCCTACTACTACAACATTATTATGTTACCACTGTCTTCCTATAAACCCTGGATATTTTAATTATTTTTCTTTTTTCTTCTCAGCTGTTAGTCTCTACTTTTGCCCTCTGCTGAGAATCATTTGCAACAAAAACCTACCAGAGAGTGTAAATTTTCTCTTTTAAGGGATACAATATGCTTTTGATCACCTCCTAATAATTTTCTTGGCTTTAAGGGAGCCCATTTTAATCCCCCTCATTTCATTATCCTGCCACCTAGGTGGAAGGAAAAGGGAAAAAGGGAGGGACTTCAGATCAATCACATTCCATTTAACTTTGCTTTTTTTCTTGCTATGAAAAGAGCCCTTAAAATCCTGGCCTTTTTGATAAATGTGGAATGAAAAAAAATTGAATTCTTTTCCAACCTCTCTCTATGCTCTTTTCTTTTATGGACTGTTCTTAACAGGGACTGATATTTTTTCTCTAAATAGAGAATTTTGC